GGAAAGAAGGGGAGGAGGTACAGAATTTGGATAGTGACCTGGAGCAGAAGAAGATGGTGATCTGGGGCAGGGAGTTGAGGAAGGAATAACAGGAGTTGCCAGGGGCAGGCTGTGTCTGGGAGGTACTTACCTAGGCAGTTCCTGGCCAGCAGCCCAGCAGGACCCTAAGGCAGATTCACTGCTTGCCTCATTCCCAAGCTGCTCAAAATGAATGATTGCTCCCAGTGGCTCTGTGCTCCAGGCACCCGAAAGGGAAGGGGGATGCTTCACGTGCTGCCCCTGAACCCAGCAAACACAGTCCGTTCCCACTGGCTGCTTTATGTAAAGCCTCCCCTTTCCCTCTATGGTGCCCAGAGTAGAGAGCCACATGGAGCAGTCAGCCACGTCAAGTGGTATGGGACTGCTCTCTGCTTGAGGGTTCTGATAGAGCAGCCCTGGGGCCAGATCCAGTGGCTTGGTGGGCCGGATCTGGCCTGCAGGATGTATCTTACTCTCCCCAATGTAGATAATAATCCTAACACAGAATATCTACTTTCAGAGGTATGTGTCTGCTATTGACCTATCCCTCACTCTAATCAATCTCACTCTGTTGTGCTTTTCAGAGGAAAAATTGATAACCAACTTGTATTACTCATAGGTTTCCTAACTAAAGAGAGGGCTTTAGAAACCAGTGATTTTCCTCAATTGTTACATGAGTTTAATGCCAATTAAAGCCACAGGATATTTTTAGGAACTAGAAGTAGTTAGAAGATTTTAATATATGAAACTTTCTGCAAAAAAAGTTTGGATTTAATTTTGTAACTAACTCTACTGGAGACTGTACTCCTAATACTATGTATAGCCTATCTGACTGACATGCAATTTGGAGGAGAATATGAGACTGGAGCCAGGAATTCCTCAATTCTAATCCTCTCTACATGATCGCTCTGTGAGCAAGTCACTTACTCTTTTACCCAAAGCTAGGTCTGCACTGCACTTTTGCTGGTAAAACTTTTGTCGGTCTGGGATGTGGAGGAAAATAAATGCCCCGACTAATAAATGTTTTACAGATATAGAGCACTGGTGTGCAGTACTTTAGTGGCAGAAGATGCTCTCTCTGACAAAGCTACTGCATTTTGTTGGGGGTGATTTTATTTTGTCGTAAGGAGAGCTCTCTCCTGCCAACAAAGAAGAGCTACACTGCATACCTTATGGTGGGACTTCTGCAGCAACACAGGTGTGCCACTGTAAGGTGCACAGTGTAGACCTAGTTTCTTGTTCCTGAAACAGAAATAATTAATTTATACTGACCTACTTTGTGGCATCTTTGCAATCAATTCAGTGTTAAACCTGAAGATTTAGTATATAGCAGTACAGAAGTTCTCAATAGTTTTTATTATATTGGCCCTAAATGGGTGCATCTTACTTAGAGCTTTCTCTGGGAAATGAGATCCTGATCTGCTTTGTTCAGGGAGTGTTGAAAGCAACATATCTATTTAGGAGGCTATATTTTGAACAGAAGATACCTAGTTAGGAGTCTTCATGCCGCTGGACAGACTCCTGTGATAGCCAGGAAATTCTTGGACTGCCTTGGTACTCTTCCTTAAAATCCCAGTTCTGGGGAGGCGAGCTTGTGTCTTCATCCGGTCCAAATATGGAAATCATGTGTCTCAGCCCATTCAGTGATGCAGTTTCAATGTGCTGGTGCCCCTTTAGCTCTTGCAACCATTATTGCGTTTCAGTTATACTTTACTGCATGCTCCGTTCCAACTTCTATTTTATACCTGGAAGTTTCCCAGATCTCGTAGGGTTCTCAGTTGCTTCGGAGCATCCTGATTTCAAGCACACAGGCCCAACACAATTTTATGTTCTCCATATATCTTATATGGTCAACCCATGTCATTGAATACAACTGTATGATGGCTTTCTTCTCTTCTGCGGTGCAGCCCTGCAAACAGATCTGCGCAGAATCTTGTTGAATTTGATAGGACTTCACAGAGGCATGAGACACCAGCTGCGTAGATTAGGGCCCATGTTCTTCAGAGATTAGGATACAAGAAGCAGAACATCTGCAAGATCCAGGATCAAAACTGGAGAAATCTCCTAACTTTGAGTGAATTTTGTATGTAACTATTATATAGAAGAATAATTGGAGTAACTGATCTACTAAAAAATCCAATCCTTCTGATTCCTACAGGGAATATGGGATACTCCACACAGATCTGTAGATCTCTTCTTTACAGTTGTTTGGGTTCCCTAGTGTTTATACCAGAGAGGTGTGACTTGAGCGAGGGCATTAGTTCCTGCCTCTACTGATGTGGAGCCCTTTTGGGAACCCTGACTTTCTCGAACATTTGATTGAAATGTTTGATGACAAGAGTCGCTCGCTGTATTTTTCCTAAAGAAAGGGCGGCAATTGGAATGGGGACCTGATCAAGCAAATGCCTGTCTATTAAATATAATAACAATAACAATTAGTCTCCTTCCCATTACAAACACCAATGGCTAACAGTTATTTAGTTCCACCCAGATGCTCCTTATCTCAAGGTCCCTACCAGAGTCAGCATTCTATCCTTATCTTATGGAGGCGAGAGGCGAAGGCAGCGTCTAATTACAGATCTCGCGTTGTCAGGCCACAAACTTAGCCTGACTCTTGCTCTCTTGTTAACAAGACCAAGATGGCCGCACACAAATTCCCTTATTCCCTTTTCCTGCCTCCACAGTAAAATAGTAGGTTATTACCTATTCAGAGAAACTTCAAACATCTTCTAAAGGAGCATCTTTTTATGATTGGAAATACACTCAGCAAACCACGCATCAGGAGTCATTTATTTTAAAATATCTACGCTTGATTAACTATATTTTGCAAAGGGCCTGCTTTCCTCAATTTGTTAAATGTAGACCCTGCATTTAAAAAAAAAAAAAGACTTAGTGTTTGTTTTGGGGTTTTTAGAGGGGCCTGATTCTCTGAAACACTCAGACCTTCTAAATCAGGTCCCTTTAGAGATTTCTCAGGTTGGATGTCCAAAAATGTTGGAACCCCCAAATCATTAGTCACTTCTGAAAATACAGGCTTCTGCATAAGTAAAGCAGAAAACCTAATTCTACTGGACAGGGCACTAATGATTGGCCTCAAGATTTAGGGCCTACTCGCTGTTGACTCCCACTTGGGACTCCTCCCATCGGAGGAGCTGAAATAAAGAGGGCTCACTCCATCTTAGAGCCTAAAACCCCCAAAGATCCCCTTGTATTTTAGCTTCCAGCAGTTTCCAGCACAGTAAGGAATGCTGCAGTCTCCTACCATTGAATTATTCTTGCTGGAGATCTTATTAATCCTGAGCAATGAAGCAGGAGTTGGCTTTCTATGTAGCACTTCTCTAATGTTTATAGCTCTTGTAATAGAGGATCTGATCAGTGTTAAGAGCAGAGATGGATGATTTGATTGCATCTCTAAGTCCAAGTCTACACTGGCAAGTTACTGCGGATTAAATCAGCCCCCACCCTGTAACTTCTGAAGTAACCACACTGGAAAGGCACTGACCATGCACTAAATCTACAGTCGCTGAGCTCTAGGTAAACCACCTTGACAAAAGGTGTAGCACTAGCTGTGCTCTGGATACAACGCTCTGGTGCCAGTGTGGACACTGGCCTGTAACACTGTTCTGACTGGCCTCTGGAAATGGCCCATAATCCTTCAGGTTCCCTTAGCTCCTTATTTTGAACTTGGATGTCTGCCCTTCAAGCATGTGCATATCCAATTTCAGAGTGCTGTTTGGGGTAGGCTGCATGCTGTGCTGACTTGCTCTGGGACACAGAGCCAATTATTCAGGTGGAATGCTCCTGCTAGTGAGCACAGAGGCAGGCATCCAAATGTGTTTGTGAGACTGTTGTGCAAAGGAAAGCCGGGGGAGGGAGGGCTGAGATGTGAGAGTTTTCCCCTCCCCTCCCCTTGCCTCAGGACCAGTTATTTCCTGCTGCTGTATAAACTTCCAAGAAAGCATGCTGTCACGTTCCAAAATACAGTCTCTTCTCCTTGTCCCACATGCCCTCATTCACACCCATACACTCCCTTTCCCATGACTCTATTGAAAAGCAGCTGTCAAAATCCATAAGATGACCATGAAGCAATGGGATTGGGAAACCTGCATCATGTGACACTGACTGCCCCATGCTGCATTGCAAACCCTTCCAAACCCTGAGCCAATTGCACAGTGGGATACTTACCACAACACACTGCTCTGTGGTGGTACAAGCGCTGCTAAGGAGCACGGTGTGAACACACAACAGTGGTTTCTCTGTGAGCAGCGCAATAACTCCCAACACTTTACATCTGCCAGTGTAGACATAGCTTAAGGAAAAGGTAAAACTTTCTTGGTGCACAGTGAGTGAATTCAAGCTTGTATTTCATCCTCCAGACAGAACCCAGCAATGATGACTATCTCTCTGAATCTGAGAAAATGGCTATGGATTTAAAAGATCCCAACCGTCCAAGATTTACTCTGCAAGAGCTACGGGATGTCTTGCATGAGCGGAATGAACTAAAGTCGAAAGTATTTTTGCTGCAGGAGGAGCTTTTATATTATAAGAGGTATGTTGGTGCCCACTGTTGGAATTGCTACCTGTGCCTTTTCCATTGTGCTACAGTTGGGGAGGTACAGAATAGATATAGAATAAAGAGAAACCAGTGGCTGGATGTAAAAACATCAGCTGATTCTTGGCTTCCGTAAGACAAAGTAGATATGCATCCAATATCTGGAGCTTTTTTCAACTTTCACAAAGGTTTGGGAAGAGTTTGCTTCAGGATCATCCCTAATTTTAATATTCCCCCAAACCGGAGATATATTAGTAGTGGGAATATCAAACAAATGCGTAGAGCTTTTGTCTTTATCAGAAAATGGCCTTTTGACGATGGAAATATTTGCCAAAAATGTTGACAGCGTGTATGTGTCATTTTCTTTTGCTCTTTACTCCCTTTCATTTTTTGGTGACAAAATAGAGTAAGAGACTCTAGATCAGGAATTAAAACACCAACAACCAAAAATCTTACCCCTCCCCCCCCGTTTTTTAAGTCAGATGAGGGGCAAATCATTACTTTCTATTAGGTATGTCAACTTGTAGTCGAGTACACAATTAACCAACAAGCCAAAGCTACACACATTCTCCCCCTGTATGAGGAAGCAAGTGCTGGAGGGAGCAGGAACCAGTGCCATGGGGATCCTGATACAGAGGTAGCAATGTGGAGGGTGAGGGGGCAGGCAGGGGCCCCAAGCCAGCTCCCTGTGCGTATGTATCAGCTCATACAAACCGCTTCCCCCACCCCCCACATGCTCCTCCGCACTGCTGCCTCTGTATCAGAGACAGCAGTGTGGGGTGGCAGGTGGAAGCCAGATACAGAGGTAGCAGCATGAGGTGGCAGGAGGCTCCTCAGGAGTGGGGGTTGGGAGCACCCTGACTGCTGGCCCTGCCCCCAGGGACTATTAAATAGTCATGTAACTTCTAATATTATGTGCAGTTACACGACTATTCAATTAATCACTATTGAACATCCATACTTTCCATACTAGCTGTAATTTCAGGACAGTTTTTGTTCCACCCTCCAAACCATAACTCTTTTCATAAGCTTTTAAAAAACCCTCTGTCATTACCTACAGCCTCTGTCTCAGCACATGGCTAGTGCCAAAAATGCATTGCCATCTGAGGCCTGTTCTGTGGCCCAAGTGCAGTGAGGTGGTGGACACAGTTCCGTGTCGAGTGGACAAGCGCCAATACCCTAAAACTATTCTCATTAGCAGCCAGTGATTTTCAGCCTCCTCATAGAGGTCAAGAACTAAATGGGCCCTAACGACAGAACTGCTTAGCCGCCCCTGTAGGAGCTCTGTTGATTCTGCCATTTGAGGTACATCAGTGAGGGAAGCCTGTCTCACTGTTCTCTGTACTGCACCTGTTCTGTGACTACACTGGGGTCTCCTGATCTGTCAGTTGAGGGGGAAATCTCGCTCCCCTGGGGTACAGAGCCCCCAGAAGGGTTCGAGGCCGGAGGTCAAATCAGTGAGGCAGGAAAGAAACTTAGAAGAGAAAACTTTATGATGCATGCATGAAGGCTGTCACTTCCAAGAGTGAAAGCAGCAGCCCTGACAGACAGATTCAGGTATCCTTTATACAGAATGCTTAGACAGCTCAGTTGTGGATTGTTCTTCTTTAACATATCAAAGTCTCAGCAGAAGTACTCTGAGACTTCTGTTCACCCCAGGAGTGCTAGAAGTAAGTTTTTACAGTACACAAAGCCACATGAGAACTTGAGTGGAGGAGTCTACAAGGCAAACTGTGACAAAGATAAGGGTTTACATGACAAATTGTGACAGACTAAGAGTATCCATGAATTTGAGATAGGCATTGTAAGGGTCTTGATTAGAGTTAATTTGATTTCTCTCTGTTACAGGGAGAGAGGCCTGAAAAACTTTTAACCCTTACAGCAGTTTTCTTTCAGAGAGTTTTGATTTCCTGCACAGTCCCCCCTTTAGACACAATTGGAGTTATTTGATTTTCCCCACACAGTCAAGCGCTTACTCATCAACACATCACATGGTTAGTGTCTCTCTCAGAGGGGGGCAGGTCCATTAAACTCAACCGGTCTCTCTCCAGGGATTGCTGTGCACTGGACAGCAATATTCCTGAGTTTCTAAGATGCTATTGCAGGTACCTTGGTCGTATGAATGTTGGGTTTTTAATATTTGCAATATTGTTACCATGTTGATCCCAGGTTATTGGAAAGACCAGGTGGATGAGGTCATAGCTTTTACTGTTCCAGTTTCTGTTGATGAGAGAGACAAGCTTACACAGAAAACTGATGTTTTTAATGGCACCTCTGCTGCATATGATGAACCTTATATACTGTTCCAGTTTCTGTTGATGAGAGACAAGCTTACATAGAAGTCTGATATTTTTAATGGCACTTCCTGCTGCATATGATGAACCTTATTAATCCTCCTCATGTGAGAGTTACAGAACTCCTAACATGGGTGACTTGAATATGAAGGAGTTTTGTAAATTAAAAGGACTTATCTACTGGTGATGAAGATCCTGCCACTGACTGTAATAGATTTGGATTAACCCCCACTGTTCTTTTTTAGTGTGCACATAAGAATGGCCACATTGGGTCAGACCAAAGGTGCATCCTGTCTTCCAACAGTGATCAATGCCAGATGGCCCAGAGGGATTGAACAGAACAAGTATTAATCAACTGATCCCTCTCCTGTCATCCATTTCCAGTCTCTGACAAACAGAGGCCAGGCACACCATTCCAACCCATCCTGGCTAATAAGCATTGTTGGATCAACCCCTATGAACATATCTAGTTATTTTTTAAATCCTGTTAAACTCCTGGTCTTCACAACATTCTCTGGCAAGGAGCCCACAGGTTGACTATGTGCTACGTGAAGAAAACCTTCCTTTTGTTTGTTTTCAATTTGCTACCCATTAATTTCATTTGGTGACCCCTAGTTTTTATGCTACAGGAACAAGTACATTACTTTTCCTTATTCACTTTCTCCATACCTGTTATGATTTTTATAGACTTCTATCCTATCCTTCCTTTGTCTCCTCTTTTCTAATCTGAAAAGTACCATTTTTTAAAATCTCTCTTCATGTGGCACCCATTCCAAACCCCTAATAATTTTTGATGCCCTTTTCTGAACCATTTCCAATGCCAGTATATCTTTTTGGAGATGAGGCAACCACAGCTGTATGCTGTATTCAATATGTGTGTATACCATGGATTTATTTAAAGGCAATACAATATTCTTCGTCGAGTGGTGTCCCTGTTGGTGCTCCACTCAGGTCTCGGTGCATCCCTGTGCTAGGGATAAGAGATTTTCAGTAACAGTTCCCCTCGCTCTGCGCCTGCGCACTCAGCAACCCTTCCTCCCTCGGAGGCCTTGGAGCATGCATGTGGTGTGAGTCCCGTCTGTTCCTTTTCAACTGTCCCTGGCTGAAGATGGAGCTCAGCAGTGCTCTTCCTCCTGATAGAAACAATTGAATCCCTTAGTTATTTTTATCCCTTTTCCTCATAGTTTTAGTTAGTTAATCTTCTCGACATTAACTTCAAGAAACAAAAAAATAGCGTTAGCCGTGGATGCAATGGCTTTTCTTCTCCGCTACAATGCCGGATTCCTCTGGCTTCAAAAGATGTGATTCCTGCAGAGACTCAATGCGTACCTCAGATGGCCATGCGTCATGTGTCAAATGCCTGGGGGAGTCTCAGATCGCGCAGAAATGCCTGCATTGCCTGAACATGTTGGCAAGGGCGAGAAAGGACCGCGAATTGTGGCTCAAAGCAATTCTCTGGGAAAAGTCTCTTCAATCACCAAGGGACAAACCAGAGGACATGCGGGTGCAGCAAAAGCTCTCCAGCAGGGCAGCTTCATTACCGTGCAAAGGCTCTCAGGCCGCAAGGGCTTCCCTGGCATGCTCCCTGTCTGAGCTGCCTAGAGCCTCTCGTTCCCCAGTGCCATTAGTGTCTGGTACTGCGGAGAAACACAAGTCAGTGCCAGCCAACCCCTGCCATATCTGCAAGTGGCAGTGAGGAAGCAGTTTCAGATAAGCCACATATGCATGCCTTCTCCATTTGCTCCGGTGAGCTCTCCCTCTGCACCCAATTTAACCAGGCAGAGTGATTGTGACCGCCTTATGGCACAGCAGCACAAGAAAGTGCTGTGCAAGACACGGCACCTACAAAAATCTCCTCAGCCTGAGTCAAGAGGAGTAACTGCCTCACCACGCTCCACAGTGCAGGGGCACTCTAACATCTCTCAGAGTGGCCCCCATTTGCCGATACTGCTCTCCCCAAGGTCTGACTACGGTAGCGGACATAGGAGCAGGTCCTCCCATGCTCCCTCACTAACTTCCTGGCATTCATACCAGGATTACTCTCTCCAACAACATCCTATTTGGCCCAGCCAACCATGGATGTATCCCCCACATCAGCTCCCGTCTTAGTGGAGTCCTTGGGATACATGGCAGGGGTACCAACCGCGGTCCTCTCACACTTACCAATCAAGACACACAGCCTCTACATCTAGGCAACACTGCATCTCTAGGCACTCACCCTCAATTTTTGCACACGCCTCACCTGCTTGCCCACCCTCAGTAAATTCTCAGATGGGCTCCACTGAGCAGGATCACTTACCTCAGTCGGATTCAGAGTCCTCCTTGCATGAATCCAGGTCTAAGCAGGCGAAGCAGTATTTCAGATCTCACCTTCTCCCCTGGCAGATGACCTGAAACATTTTCAGGAACTTTTTAAACGGGTAGCACAGTCACAAGAAATTACACTACACAAGAGGTGCAGGATAAACAATATAAATTACTCACCATATTACAACCCTCAGCATCCTCCAAAATAGTTTTACCTATCAATGAAGCTATCCTCAAATCTTCGGATGCTTTGTGGCAAAATCCAGCCTCTGTCCCACCCACAAACTGTAGAGCGGACAGAATATACTTAATCTCTGCAAAGGACATGGACTTTCTATTTGCCCATCCACAGCCAAATTCCCTGGTGATGGACTCTGTGAATCACAGGGCTAAGA